AGAGGAAGGGATCCTAGGAATGTGCTTCGCAGAGATGCACTAAATGAATAGATTTCATGATCACAGGTATTTTTCTCTCTTATTTTTCTAGGAAGAGCACTCAGCACTTTGCTTGCTAAGCTTGTAGTTCTAGTCTTTTGCATCTCCCTGTTGAAACTAGGCAGCATCTACAAACTGGGTTCTTAGCCAAGGCATGTTCTTAAATGGGGAAAAATTAGACGCTCTAAAATATATTTTCCTTGCCAATCCTGATGTCTAATGTTTCTGGGGTGTAAGAAAAGAAATACTTCCTTTAAAGCAGTGTTTCTCAAGCTCAGCAACTTGAAGATGTGTGGACTTCAACTCCCAGAATTCTCAGCTGGAGAATTCTGGGAGTTGAAGTCCACACATCTTCAAGCTGCTGAGCTTGAGAAACACTGCTTTAAAGGCAGCCTCAAAATCTGCTTGATTCTCAAGTCCCAGGCAACTATGCATCAGCTTTACTGTCTCTAGTGACACAGTATGTGTCATTTTTATTAATTATGTCAGATTTATATATCAGATTTACATCCCACATTTCTTCTAGATAGGGCACTGTTTCTCAACAGAGGCAAATTCCAGATAGGTGGACTTCAACTCCCAGAATTCTCAGCAAGAGCCAGGCTGGCTGGGGGATTCTGGGAGTGGAAGCCCACATGTCTGGAAGTGGCCTGGTTGGAAAGCACCATTCTAGAAGCTCAGGGCAATATACTTCATAATTCCTCTTCCACTTTTATCTCCGTAGCAACCCTGTGAGAAGGGTTAGGCTAAGAGATAGTGACTGAGATATAATGGCTAAGGCATGCTTAAGCCTTCCAAACAGAGGTTTCCTTCTTCTGTTCAGCAACAGAGAAAAATAACCAAAGCATTGGAACTTTAGGGAGGAAGAAAAGTATGTAAAACCAAATTGGTAGAACAGGATGCTGTCGGAGAGAGCCTTTTTCACCAATGCAATACAATATACAGGTAGTCCTTGCTTAATGACCACAATAGGAACCGGAAAATTGGTTGTTAAGCAGGATGGTCGTTAAGCAAGTCAGCATGTGACCGGACCCAATTTTACAACTTTTTACAATGGTTGTTAAGTGAATCACCACGGTCATTAAGCAAATCCAGCTTCCTCAATGGACTTTTGCAGGAATTTGCTTAACAACATGATTCACTTAACGACCATCATAAAAAGGTCACAAAGCTACACCTTGACTTTTTTTTACCCTTCCTGCAGGATAGCATGGTTGGATTGAACTGCATGATGGAGGTGATCTGCAGTTTGGGGGTTGACATTGCCCTCCAACAGATATGTAGAATCCAGCCTTGTGACATCATGTAGCCTGCAAACATAGTTCCAATACATCTCAAGAACACCAGAGCAAGGAAGTCTAAATTAAGCTTCGCTACGTAGATTATCTCTTGGTTGTGGGATCAACTTACCTCTGTAGAGTGCTTCTTATATCCTAGAAGAAAAAGAGAATATTTTCAGTGCTGGCCACAAACCATTCTGAATTTAAAAAAAAACAAACAAAAACTAATTTTGATAACAGCTCCTATTTGTGCTGATCAAAGAACTATCCACTTAGCATAGGAAGGAGGATGGGTCTTCATATAAATGGAAGCAATTTTGGTTCAACTAAAGGTACTTGAGAGAGGACTCTTTGGAAAAGACCCTGATGCTGGGAAAGATTGAAGGCAAAAGGAGAAGA